GACCGGTACCAGAACCAGTACCAGGACCGGTACCAGAACCAGTACCAGGACCGGTACCAGAACCAGTACCAGGACCGGTACCAGAACCAGTACCACGACCGGTACCAGAACCAGTACCGCGACCGGTACCAGCAATGTGTGTGACAAAAGGAACAGCCAGACAGGTGGGCGTCATGAAGGTGGCACTTTTTTTTTCTTATTGTGGGTCCACCAGCCCACCCGCGTGGAACCTCCACCGGGCCTGGGCACTGTAGAATCTGTGTAGATTTGGCACGGTGCTCGTCAACAAGTAAAGTTGGCAGTACCTTTCACTGCCTGTGTCAAGCAGCTCGCCATCAGAGAGAGTTGTTCATGCATTGAGAGGGCGAGGAAACACATTGGAACTTAGACAGCAGAGTGCACCGCCTGCTACGTTTACCCTATGGTCGGTCTTCACGCGAATGCAACATTCTCTGCGGGGTCTTCACGCGAATGCAACCTCATTTGGGCCAACTTTTAATGCTGCATACTGATATAATTACCTGGTGTTGTATTATTGGGGTTAAGACGGTAGGAAAGCACGGATCTGGGCACTGCTATGGGCACATTCATGCTGTCATGAACACCCACTGCTGCTGAGTATGTCATGACTTTTTTTTTCTTTTTTTTTTTTCCTTTTTTTCCCTTTTCTTAAGGATGCTGTCATGAAGATAGCAGCAGTGGGGCTTTACACCCACTGCTGCTGAGTAGGTCATGCCTTTTTTTTTTTTTTTTTTTCCCTTTTTTTTTCCTTTTCTGAAGGACACCATGACGAGCCGATGAGCCCAAAAAGCGGGCAGGTCATGCCTAAGTTTAACATGAAAAGAAGAGGAGAGAGAAAAAAAAACAAGGCAGAAGAAGAAAAGACGGAAAACATGAAGAGGCTCACACATCAAGATGGGATAAAAAATAGGAAAAAGAGAGCTCTTGTCCCTGCCTGACAGTAGGCAGTACTTGTTGGTTAAAAAAAAAAAAAAAAAAAAAAGGAGTTGCGAATCTAGCAATTGCTGAATTAAAAAAAAAAGGGATCAAACTTCATCAAAGTGTCTCTCTACCTGTGTCACTGTTACAAGGTTGATTATTAACTCTGCTGTCTGGACGTCAGTTACTTCCGCTCCACTGAGGGCAATCAATGATCTGCTCCTCCCCCCATTAGTTTCCTATCGGGCCCCCCTCTAAGACATGTGAAGGATGGTATCCCTCCCCAGCGATGGATTGGAGCCATCTTCGAGAGCGGGCTTATTATTGGGGTCTGCTCTTATCAACCTCAATATTAGGTTTCACAGTGGAAAAAAAAAAAAGGGAAGGTGAAACAAAAAAAAACTTAAAAAAAGAGAAAAGAACGGTGAGCAAACTTGTGCAACTGGACAGC